GATATTTTTAATCCATGCATTCTTCCTGTTCTTGTCATTGTTTTCAATGATATATTACCCATAATGCAACTCCTCTGACTGGAGTCTCTAGTCTCAATCATAAACAAACGATGGATTACAAACATTTTGCAGTTTTACTTCCTAAAACCGGCGTAACAATCACAGATGTGCAAAACTGCCAGAGTTCCCCTTTAAAACAAACCTCAGCTATCAGCAGCTAAATGTCGACGCGCGTTCCCCTCAATATTTTCAAAACCTCAGACTCATAATTAAACCAGCCTTAACTCGCCCGTGTTCCTGCGAGCTGACTCATAAATGCAGCTGCATACCAGCACAGGCAGGACCGGACCTGCCGAGCTGCTCCCGCCGCTCGCAGCTGCGAGCGTTACCTGAGTGGCCGTGATGATGGGGACTCCTCCGATGATCTCAGTTTTGTAGGAGACCTGTTTCATGGTTCCCAGCAGCTCCTGGGGAGTCTCCGCGTGGGTGTTGTGGCCCTCGCCAGGCTTTGGCACCTGAAAACAGAGCAGGAGTCGTGTCTTTCAAAAAGGCTCCACGTCTCACTATTTTTAAGAGCTTGGACTTTATTTCACCTTTTTTCTTAACTCTCTGAATGTTATTTATCATAGGAATTCACATTACGTTAGCAATGCTAATTAAATAGAGATAAAAGCTGTTCGGATCAGTTATTGGCTTTGGTCTTAAAGAGTGACGATGGTTATCTTCACACCATGAACTGGAGCAGAGGTCTAAGTCTGACAGGAAGCTCATTCTGCAACCAGCATGTTACATATGTACCATTCCTTTAAAGCAGAGGTGCTCGCAGCTTAAACTAACAAGCAGACACCAGAAATTAACTTTAAAATCGGTGATGTTTTAGACTCCTTCCTGGATAGATAGATGGAAACGATAAACGATAAAAGGATGGGTGTGAATCTGCCACTCCCAGCTAATCATTTTTCAGTAAGCAGTGTTACTGCTGTGATGGGCATTACTTTTCCCACTATGCTCCCTCCACCCCTGTGATTTAATAACCTCGACTTTGTAGTTTAGCAGCCAATACTGTAACACCCTGCGTGTTAAGGCACTAAAGCCTCACAGGAAACATGACATTACACGTACAGGTGGTCTAAACTGTATGAGGACTGAGCTGGTGACTAGTTATAGAGCTGTTGTTAGCCTAGTATAAGCACATCAGCACAGGGAAGACATGACGAGGATCGTTCTCAGTAGAAGCAGAAGTAAACACTGAAAACAGACTTCAGACTTCAGCCAGAGCGTCTGAGGTAATCCGTCCACAGCACGGCGTCGGTCAGCCTATTCTAGCTGCTACTGAGATTGCACATGCCAATAGTGGCATGACAGCTGCTGGTGGAAACCACACTGTGGTGTAGTTTTGGCAGCAAGTGCGCCTTTCTGCTGGGTTTTAGAGCGTACGACTGTCAGTTTTTACCACCAAAACTCGAAAGTCAAAATCAGGAGCAAAGTGATTTCAGTGGTTTTTAACATCTCCTGTGCTGACGTGG